CCCCAAAACCCCAAAACCCCAAAACCCCAAGGTAAAAGATACATATTTAAATTATGATACATTTTATAATATATTTTTGGTAGGAGCGGTAGTGACGATGTGTTCGACCACAGAAAGTCCAAGGTTGATGAGAGTCAGTCCTTTCTAGTGCTGCTGTATGGCGAGGGCGTCATGATTTCAGAAATACTCTGTCTACATCTCATAAGGACATGTATAAGCTACTCTATACTAATAGTTTAGCAATGGTAAAGAGTTACTAGTTTCTATAGACTTTTTATGCTAATCTTAAGGGTAAATCATATTGATATCTGTTGAGGAATTGAGTAAGAAGGCTCATGAGCTCCTTATTATAATAGTAAGAGTAATAATTCTGAACAGCCTTAACATGAATCACAATCAGAATTCAAAAGTCAAAGGAAAGTATATTACCAAGAATAATCCTGTTAATAATGATGCAGAGTGAAAAGCACTTTTTTAGGGTTATAGACTGGATGCTAAGACTCAGTCTGGAACCTTGATTAACCTAAAGCTATCCGATATGCTCAGTAATCCTCAGATGAAATATAAGAATACCAAGGATGAGCATCAAGTTATCGACCATTAGCTTCTAAATGGTCAGTCTAGCATTATTAGTTATAGAAATTACTTAAGGTTGGCTAAAGCTTAATTTCCTACAAGCCTTTCTCAATTGTTGTGAAGAAACTTTCTCTACACAGTTGCCTCATTTCTGAATATATTACGTCTGACCCGTTCTGGGAGGAAGAGTCTATGAAATCTGAGAAGAATGTATCACAAGTGGAAGGATCAAGCAAAAGTAGTTAAGCTATCTTAGACCTGATGCTGCCTCCATTGGGTAGAGGACTGGTATGAAAAGAACCTTCAAAAGGTGCAGTTGCAAGAAGAGTTATTTCTTCTAATGTTATGAAGGAGTCACTTCATATTTTATAAAGGAGCCATTAAGGCCCCTAAATTTTATTTGACTGAGTAGCGCTAAGTTTTTAGAATATGGGAAGTCTTGAGAGAGCCGGATTTAATCATTTAACCGACTAATAAAGAAACTGCAGCAAGCTTCATCTCCTTCGGTTTATTAAGCAAAGGGAATCCTGATATCTTCTAGGGAAGTTGTACCTTACCAATCGGAAGGAAAGGGTAACCTTCTCTCCATCAATGGACTCACTGAGATTCATTAGAAGAGTTAAGTTTCTTTTGTGCAATAGTTCAGTAGAGGGGGTTTGATGAATTTAATGGACAATATAGAAATTTTACCAGAAAAATCTTGCTGAATGTTATACATTCTGTCCTTCACAGCAGAAATTTTATGAATAATAAGGCAAGCCTTGGCTATAACAGACTTTGAATGCCTTATAATTTGTTTAACACAAAGTTGGAAACGAATAAAATCTTGGTACTTCACAAATATTTTTAATCTAAGAGTCGTTACTAAAGCCAAGTTTGAAGAATATGAATTTGTCCCAGCTCATGAGGTAAATCCAATTGCGATATCAGAGAATTTTCTTAATTTGGAGATCTCTCTCGCTCATAAAATGAGAGAACTCTGGAATATAAGAGAGATATCTGCACATAATCTTTTCAATCTTGGATATATTTTACGGGGTTTTGGGGTTTTGGGGTTTTGGGGTTTTGGGG